CATTCTTAGAACCGCTTTCTTCTGTGCTGTTGAGCAAGCCCAGCAGAACATCCTTTCCATTTTTGCTGTTCTTGCCCCCACTTATTCTTGGCCCCCAAAACAATCATACTCCAGAAGCCAGCCTCGAGGATTTGCCTCCTGGTTTCTCGTGCTATTGAGCCACTCGAAAATTGGATGTTGTCCATGAGTAAAATATGGCCGGTCAGCTGATCCCTTCCGGACCATAATCACGTAAAAGCGGTTCGTAGAACATCGGCGCCGTCCGTGTGCTTGAGCAGCCTTCACGGGCAGCTCAAGTGGTGCACATCTTCATTTCTCAACATAGACAACTTTGGTAAAGCATTCACCTCCTAAAGGATAGTAGTACTCTCCACGTATCGTTTGCTTAAAGTGGAGGAGGATTCATGAAGTACACCATGAGCCCGTCTTAGTACTTTGAGATATGGACGACATTGCCGACACTGGTTGAGCTCAGCGGAATACGTTTGTGGCCGTTTCACTTCAAGTGTACGATGCTTCAGTACCTCGATTATGGCTAACCACACTTTCGGAATAAGCGGGTATTTTAACGGTTTCCAACAGGGCCGTACCATCACTGACGTCAAATACGTCGAGAACTCGGCGACGGACCCTGCGGGTGCGTGGGACAAGGCTAAGGAGAACAAGACATCGAGAACTCGGCTGTGTTAAAAATGAACGCCGCATCAGGTAAGGACACCGAATCGGGGTATCAATCACCGTCCCTTCGAATTCGAACAAAGCGGTCGCAGTTGCGATTTCGGGAGGGAGGGAGTAGCATATGGTGAGGTTGACCATGTTCGGGAAAATTGCGAACAGGGTCGTATTTGTGTACGGGGTTTCTGATGGTGCGAAAACTTCGCAAAACAAGTGAGAAAAATAGGCAGAATTGGAGGATTTGCAACTTCATTTGACATCTTTGTCCCGTCCCCTTTCCTCTCCTCAGTCGACGGCCGTTTCGAAGAAAAAAGTGGGTGGAGTGGGCCATATCGACTGGTCAGAATCAACCAACAGAAATGTTATGATGGCAGCGAGGTAGGGGAATGGTCCGGGTAGGGGAAGCTGTCGTTATGAGGAATTCTTCGGAGGCCGACGGCGGTGATGCGGAGTCGAAAAAAATTGGAAAAGTGCAAGGGCTACGGTTGACCTTGCACGGAATGTCCTCTTCAGTGAATGTCCAGCCGACTTCAATCTAAGTTTTTGAGATTGTTATAGTGCAAAAGTGCCAATTTCTCTCTTGAACCATTGTAGTGTTGCTTATCCCGCACACTCGCTGGGAACGATGCAGGATGGTGGCATGTACGGCATCACCTTCATGAATAAGAGCACCAGCCAATTCGGGCATTTGCTGAATGGCAGTACGTAAGGTCCATATGGAACCGCGAGCATAGCTGCCACGCTGCGCCGCCGACGCTGCCGGATTTTCTAAGAATGAGAAGGCCAATCCGTGAACGACGGAGTGACTGCTGTGGAAAAAAATTGCTACACGGCAGAATGCACTCACCTTCCGTTCTTTCCTCGATGTCATCTTGATGCGACTGCATTTTGGATTGCTTACGGGTTCTGAAAATAAATCCGCATTAGATGAGGACTTGAAAAGCGACAAACTAGTGAGAACAGTCCGTTCGAGTGTGGACATGACTACCATTTGGGCGAAACGCAAATTGTAGGTGGAGGTGAACGCTGGTACGTAACATTGCCTTTCCAAGAGAGCTGACATCGACATTCAGGGGTATGAAAACCCCGCTAGCGAAAACACCAAACTGTAAGAGATGAGGAAATGTTGGAAATGTTTTGAGAGCGCCTTGAACTCTATACGAGCCCGGCGTTTTTGAAACACTGCCTTTTACAAAAGTTCTACTTATCACTGATTTCAGTAAATTGATCCTTTCAACTGAATCTGTGATTCAAATCTTTGAACATAACCAGAAAACAGAAGGATTACTGAATGAAATCATGAGCACAGCTAGGCCCAGAGATAGGAGTGTAACTGCCTTGACTCATTTCTTATTCAACAAAAATCTTGACAGAAAAGTAAGCGTATTAAAATCGTTGCCCACCTGAGAGACCTTCTCTTGTGACTGGACTCGAGTGACGGTTGTTGTCCCATAGGAGATCCTCGTTTGAGCAGTCGCTGTCGACCGGTGGCTATCCGACGACCTACGAAACGAACGCTTTGCCACTGATCACGACCAAACAATATACTTTCTTATTTTGACAGACCTTTCCCAAAGTGCTTATATTCTTACAAAGACGATCCTCAGAGATAAAAATTGGAGACGTCAAACTGGACAACAAGAGCACAAAAGCAGGACAATGGCTCGAAGCTTTTAGTATGGGAATACGCTGGGATCTATTGGTATTACGGACCCTTCAACAAGTACGGGCCTTACAATTTCCCTCGTGATGTGCCTCCTACAAGTTGTCCTAATTTCAGAGTTTATCTTTAAA